TCTCCCATCAAGACCCAGGGAATGAGAATCCCTGGGGATAGGGCCTAGGACTGCATTTTAAGATTTGCAGGTGATTCTTATCAAGACTAAAGTTTGGAAACCATAGATTTGTTGGATGGATTAGAGGAGGAAGAGACTAGAGTCCAGGAAACTGGAAGATGATTTTTAACAGTGAAACAATGAGAGCAGGTCAGTGGAATTCTCCTAATTTCAAAGTGATTTTTATATAACTGCTGATACCTAGGCTACTCCCAAGTTTCAAGGCAATTTAATTGGAAGTACATATATAATTAAAGAATTTTTAGAAAACACAGTTGTGTCAAACTCCTCTAATTAAAAGCTCCAGAGAGAACACTATGGGCCTTTGGATGAGTTTTTCATTCTAAGAAACAAGGCAAGTCAGAATATTTTGTTCTGCTTATAAGCTAAAATGGAAACAAAAATTGTTAAAGGTACATCATTGACATAGAGTTATAGTTCTTTAAATCTTGCTCTGATGATAAAGACCCCAAAAGGAACAAGAGTAAATAGTAAAAAAAAAAAAACAACTCCTTCATTCCACTTTCTCCCAGGCCCTACTTTCCTCTTCAGAGGTAAACACTGTTTCTTGAGCATTCTTCCAGAAAGCGTGTGCACACGTGAGCATATATGCATGCTCTGTGCATACACACGTGTACAGGAATTCCCCCTTTGGGCCCTATGCAGAAAAGAGTCACGGTCACAGGGCTAAGACTGCTGTCCTTAGAAAGACCTGTTTCCCAGGTTGGCCATTAGGTGGCGCCTGAGAATTTGGGAGGATTTCTAGCCATTTCCTCCGTCTCTAAGGAGTTTCCACGGTAGACAACACTTCACACATGTCACAATGCGATGATGGTGATTCCACAGGGCGTATACTTTTAGAAGCTTGTGTTTGGTTTCCTCCAGACCTTGCTGTGTACACTGTTTCCTTTGCTGATTTTCCTTTCTATCTTTCTACTGAAATAAATCTTAGCTGTGAGTACCACTGGGTCCTGTGAATTCTTCTAGGGCAACACTGAACCTGGGGGTGATCTCAGGGACTCCCAGCACAGGAAGATAGGGGTATTCTTCTGGATTACACAGTCTGATTCTATGGGAATCAGAAAGTTCTTTTCCTTGAAATAAAGGCAACCAGATTCAGTGAAACCATTCATAGCAAGAATGTCGCCAAATGCAGGTTGACCTGCTGGGCACCCAAGACCCAAGAGCAAAGTGCTGGTGAAGAAAAAGTGGTTTATTCAAGGGCTAGAAGCCTAAGGAGATGGTAGACTATCACCGTAAAGACTGCCTCATTTTTCTCCGCTTACTGAACACCTTATAAAGGAAGGGGCGGAGGGGATGGTGGCAGCAAGTTTTATGCAAGTCATCATGACTTGCTCCATGGTTATCAGCAAATAATAGGTTGTCTGGTGGATCTTGTCATCAGCAGGCTGCAGTTGGCCTATTTCAGATTTTTTTTTTTTTTTGAGATAGAGCCTCAAGCTGTCGCCCTGGGTAGACTGCCGTGGCATCACAGCTCACAGCAACCTCCAATTCCTGGGTTCAGCAATTTTCCTGCCTCTGCCTCCCAAGTAGCTGGGACTACAGGTGCCTGCTACAACACCCGGCTATTTTTTGGTTGCAGCCCTCATTGTTGTTTGGTGGGCCCGGGCTGGATTAGAACTCGCCAACTCAGGTGTATGGGGCTGGCACCTTTGCCACTTGAGCCACAGGCACTGAGCCTATTCCAGACTCTTGAGTCTATTTTTCCTCAAGGTCATTTTGTCATTTTCTAATCTTGTGCCCAGCAGCTGTGTAAGCAAGCAGCAAAACTTTTAAGACAGAACAAATCAAAAGCATACCAGAAGCAAAATGGCTTCCCCTTAGCCAGTCTAGCCTTATCGTCTAAATGGCCCTTGGGGTGCACTTACAAGAACAGCCATTCCTCAGTACCTGCATTAGGGGCTGGTTCCAGGATTCCTGAAGATACTGAAATCCATGAATGCTCAAGTCCCTCATATAACATGGCATACTATTTGCATATAATTTGTACACATCCTCCCATATGCTTTAAATCTTCTCTAGATTGTTTTCAATACCTAATCCAATGTAAATGCTATGTAGATAGTTGTTGCATTGTATTTTTCATGCATAGTATTTTATTGTCATATTTTTATTATTTTTAAATATTTTTGATCTGAGGTTGGTTGAATCGCAGATGTGGAACCTGTGGTTATAGAGGCCCAACTGTGCTGCTTCATTGAGTTTATCAGTCAGTCTCAGTTCTACCCTACCATTATTCTATACCTCATCAATAAAAAGATGTTTGTGGGGCAAGTCAAAAGTAAACAACAGGGCTTTCTTTTCTTTTTTTTTTTTTTGAGACGGAGCCTTAAGCTATCCCCCTGGGTAGAGTGCCATGGCATCACAGCTCACAGCAACCTCCAACTCCTGGGCTCAAGCGAGTCTCCTGCCTCAGGCTCCCAAGTAGCTGGGACCACAGGCACCTGCCACAATGCCCGGCCATTTTTTTTTGGTTGCAGCCATCATTGTTGTTTGGCGGGCCGGGCTGGGGATTCAAACCCGCCACCTTAGGTGTGTGTGGCTGGCGCCTTAGCCGCTTGAGCCACAGGTGCCAAGCCAACAGGGCTTTCTTGTCCACAGTTTCGCCAGAAGACACCATGTTTTCTTAGATAGCAGTAACTATACACAATGATGTCATGATTGTGTAATTCCTGTTTGGCACCTAGCCATTATTGTTCCCCTGGACATAAAAATGTTCAGAACTTTCCACTTGCATGGACTTCCCTCGCTTGCTTACTGGCCGCAGCAAGCTGAATAAAGGGATGTCATCCCTGCCAATAAATTCTTCTTTGGCCGATCCAGATTGGATCATTTGCAAAAATAATGGTTTTCTGAACTTTCACCATGACTCTCTGTTCACTTCAAAGTGAAATGGCTACCGATAAGAGTCATTATAAATTCTCCAACGTGATCCAGTCTTTACTAGATACTCTCTGACACTGAGCAGTTATCAAAGATACCTGGGGAGGAGGATTCATTTTCTCTCTCCTGTTGCCCGTGTTCCCTTTATTCCTCTTTTGTTATTTATTTCCTTGCTTTGGAGAAACACATTCTCTAGCAGCTGCTTGAGAAGGAATGTTTGATAAGTAAATATTTTGAGGTTTTATATGTCTGCAAAATCCTCATTCTACTTTCCCACTTTATTGGTAATTTGTAAGAATAGTAAATGGAAATTACATACCTTTCAGAAATGCAAAGGAACTGTTTCATTATCTTTTAGCTGTAGATGCTGCTTTGGGGAAATCTGGTGACATTCTGATAACGGACCCTTTGTGACATTTTTTCCCCCTCTGGCAGATTTTAGGACCTATTTTTTGCTTTTTCATTCTGAAAACGCATATCCTTCCATCCTGGAGCCTTGATAATTATCTTTTATCCTTTGCACTACTGTACTTTGCAAGCAGCCTTACAGATTACTTGATTTTTTCTTTTCTTGTCCATACTACTTTTCCAATTTTCTTATCTTTCTTTTTGTCTTTGTGTACATTCCTGAGTGTTTCCTTCTGCTGATTTTTTTTTCATTTCTGTTATCTTTTCTTTTTCCAAGAACTCTTTTTATTTCCCATCCCGTCCCTTTAATTGCATCCCATTGTGACTTCATATTCTGTTATCCTTCCGCGGACATTACTAGAAGTTTTTTGAGGTGTTCATATTCTTGGTTCTGTTGTTTGGGCCTCTTCCTTGTATTGGTTGCTGTCCTTGATCAAAAGTAAAAAGAGGAAACTCAGTGTGGATGGCTCTTCCTGTTGACTTTGAACTCGCTATAGAGTTTGTCCAGAAAATCCTTGAGGCTTTGATCAGCCTCTTGTGTTAATCAGATTCTGATCAACCTAGGCAGGGTTCTGGTTTTCGGTAGGCACGAAGTCTTTTATTTCCTGTTTTAGGTGTTTTACCCATATCCTCGCTAGAGAATTTACCCTCTTTCTAGAAGTAAACCTCCCAACTTCAGTCTGGGAGGGAGAAGATCAGCAGCTGGAGACAGATCTATCTAACTGCTTCTCAAACGGCCTTCAGTTAATCCCACTCATTCATTCATTCATTTAATTTTTGAGACAGTTTTACTCGGTTGCCCAGTCTAGAGTTCCATGACATTAGCCTAACTCACAGCAACCTCTAACTTCTTGGTTCAAGGGATCCTCCTGCCTCAGCCTCCAGAGAAGCTGGGACTACAGGAGCCGGCCCTCCTGGGTTCAAGCCTTCCGCCTGCCTCAATCTCCCCAGTAGCTGGGACTACAGAAGCCGGCCACAACACCTGGCTATTTTTTTCTATTTTGTAAAGACGGGGTCTAGCTCTCAGGCTGGACTCCTGAGCTAGAGGGATCCACCCGCCTAGGCCTCCCAGAATGCTGGGATTACATAGCGAACCACACCACCCTGCCAATCCCTTTATCTTCGATTAACTTCTCATAGGTATGCTTTCTAGCCTCCAGCATTTTGTTACTGTCATCTTCTGGGTTGGTTTTTACTGGTATTTAAACACGGGAGTAAGCGAAATGAGATGCTTGAATTCCTACTTACATCTTAACTCAGAACTGACATCTATATGATAAAAACCTTTTGGCCACTCCAAACATGCTGCTCAGTCGTGCCTTCCAAAGACGCTCTATTGCTCCATTTTTGGAGACTTCCCAAGCACATAACTAACCAGTACACTGAGCCAAAGAGAGGAGCACCGCTCGGGGGAGATCGTGAGGGTGAAAGTGTCCACCTTCTGCCTGCCCGCCCGCTCCCAGCCTCGCCCCGCTCGCGCCCAACCTCGGTCCACCTCGCCGAGCCACGCCCACAACACGCCACGCCCCCACATCGCCACGCGCCCGAGCCACGCCCCTTACGTAAACACGCTCTCACGTAACCACGCCCTTCGCGTCGCTACGCCACGCCCCACCTCCTCACGTCACGCCCCGCCGCACAGCAGCCCTCTGGCCTAGGGGGAAGACTCAGCTCCCACGGTTTGGCTACCCGGCGGCTGGCATGGCAGTGCCGCGGTTCAGACGCCGGCGCTTCCTCGCCCGTCAGCCGTCTAGTGCCCCCGGGCTCGCTCTGCTGGCGCTGTTGGTGCTGCCGCTCGCGGCCAGGGCCAACTGTCCGTGTCCGGAGCTCGAGCTCTGCCGCTCGATCCGCCACCGCCGGGACTTCGAGGTCAGCGCCTCTCCCCTACTCCCCCGGGTCAGGGTCGCCAAGCCCGCTGAGAAGTCGAGAGTAGAACCCATCCCTAATGAGGGAGAGGTGGTGTGAGTGCCACTGGTTGAGGGCCTTCGTGTTGGAGGCTTTCCCTCTGTGTAGATGAGGAAGCTCGGGCTCAGAGAGTTGAGTAACTCCTGGGGCTCACAGACTGGAAGCGCCTGCCTTGGCAGGAAAGTATTCAAGCCCGGATCTGACCCAAAGCAAAGCTCTTTCATTCCCTAGATTTTTTGGTTTCCAGGAGAATGACGATTTATAATAATTCGAAAGAATCTTAGCACTCCAACAGCCCATTAGAAGGCAGAATGGCACCTCAAAACCACCCAAAAAGGGTGGTAAAAATAGATCTGTCAGTAAATTTCCATTATACTCACTTAGCAATATATAGGGCTTCTGGCAACTTTAGTCAAACAACCTTTCGGAAGCAATATTAAAACTAATTGGGGGCTTAGAGTTTGATGACTAGCAGGAATTGGAATATATCAGGGAGGCCCAAAGGCTTAGTCGAAAGAACATGTCTTTTGTAGAAATAGGAATGATTCCTAGTTCTTAATCTATTCCATTAACTTTGAGACGGGCATTTCAATGCCAATTAAAAAGTCCATATCCAAGGCTTAGGAGAAGAAGTAAAAGTGGTGAAAGTGTTTATGGCGAAACTGCCTAGTGTGGAAACGTAACATCTTGTTAAAACTTTAGACAAATTAAAATAATGGTGTTTATTTAAGGAAAGAACCATTTATGAATTGACATCACTCTAATGAGAAGGGATAGGTCCAGAAATGCCCGCTTTAGCAGAAAGAGCAGTGGGCTTTTATAGTTTGAACACAGAGGTAAAGTAAAACATTTACTTGATTGACTGTAGGGTAGGTTTTGTAACCTGGTGGAAAGTCCATAGAGATTAGGCGGCAGTTTCTGATAGGTTAAGCTTAAATTTAGATCTACTGTTGACATTGTTTACCTAAGCTGGAAGCCAAAGCTGGAACTGTTTCAGCTTAATAGACTCCCAATTAAAATAGTTCTAAACAATCTGAAGATTGATGGTGGAACCCAATATCTAGTGGGTTAGCCAGTATTTGCGGGCACTTTGGAAACCAGTTATACAAAGAAGCAAAATTGTGCTCATTTGTGTGTTCATGGTATAAAGGAAATTAAAAATCTTGGGACCACCCAATTCCTTATTCAAAAGGGAAGGTCCAAGGTGCCTGTGGCTCAAAGGAGTAAGGCACCAGCCCCATATGCTGAAGATGGTGGGTTCAAACCCAGCCTCAGCCAAAAACCACAAAAAAAAAAAAAAAGGAAGGTCCAGCCTGGAGATGAGTCACACTATACTTCCTTCCAAATGATGAGTTTTTACTAACATCACAAGTCAACAAGATTCACAAGTCAACCAGATCCCTAGAGAGGGATAAAAGGCCTCAGGCATCTAGGACTGACCCCACAGATGATTCATAAGGAAATTCTTTGATTGCTTCTTATAGGAAATGTCTTGCAAATTGTGACTTTGGGTCTGCAAGCTAAGACTAGCTCCTGAAGGTAGAGTCTGTCCAATTCCGTGGTGTGTGTATGTGTGTGTGTGTATATATATATATATATTTTTTTTTTTTTTTAAGAACAAGGTCTCTCACAGTCACTCAGGCTGGAGTGCAATGATGTGTGATACAGCTCACTGTAACCTCAAACTCAGATGATCCCCCTGCTTCAGCTGGCACGCCTGGCTAATTTTTGTTTTTTAGAGACAGGGGTCTTGCTATGTTACTTAGCCAGGTCTTGGACTCCTGTCCTTAACTGATCTCCCCCACCCCCGCTTGGCCTCCCAGAGTGCCCAGATTACAGGTGTGAGCCACTGTGCCCTACCCTGAAACAGTTTTAGCTGAGGATTCCTTCCTCAGCTTCCCTATACTGCCTCCAGTTTTGGCCTCTTTAATCCATTTTCTACTTCACCAAAAGGGATATTTCTAAAATGCATACCTTCTTTAAAAATTGCTTTTATTTTCTCCCTTTCCCTCAGGATAGCTAATGGAGTACTAACAGGGTTTACTAGGCCCTACATGATTTAACTCCTGTCTACCATTCTCTGGTTCTTCACTATGTTCTCTCTCCAAATTCTACATGTTGGCTGTGCTACATATTTAGTTATACAACTACCATGTTCTCTGTCTCTAGGCTTTGGCATTTGGCACTATTTCTTCCAGGCTCATCCTTCCCCACAAGCCAATTAGACTTGACTAACTAGGCCTGGCACCAATTATATTAGGACTCCTATGTCTTGTAGCATAGCACCTGATATAGTGGTGCTATATAGGTGCTAAGCACCTATATAGTGGTGCTTAATCTATTTTGGATGGTCAGCATGCCATTGTTTTAAATAATGCTTATCCTTTTCTGGCAGGTCTTTGTGTTTGATGCTGGACAAAAAAATTGGAAATCTTATGATTGGTCACAGATTACTACTGTGGTAGCTTTTGGAAAATATGACTCTGAACTGATGTGCTATGCTCATTCAAGAGGAGCCAGAGTAGTACTTAAAGGTATGTTTTTCACCAGATCTGTAAGTCCACCAAATTGGCGGGTTTATCTATTACTTGCTATTGTACTGACTTTCAGAAAAATTCTTTTTATGCTAATCTGCTTTTTTCAGGATCCTAAAGTTGATATTAAATAGTATATAATTTGTTTCATAAATACAGATACCTTTCTAAAAATTAAATAAACCACTGCATGGATTTGAGCAAAATGTGACCGCCTAATTAGCATGACTTTTACTTAGTCATAGGCAACTATTTCTGCTTCTAACTTGAGAATCATTTTACTAATTATTCATGATGGTTGTTTTGGAGATCAGTAAGTAACCTTTCTATTATTTTGGTATATTTTTTCTTCATTTGGAAAACTTCAGTCATGGGTGTAGTCTTCCAAAATAATGAAATGTTTTAAAGACACTTTGATCTCTTTGGAATGGATTTGTAAGTAAATGTCATTGTGAAAAACATATATGTACAAAAGATGTCCACTTCTTCCACAGGGGATGTATCCTTACAGGATATCGTTCATCCGACTTTCAGAGCATCCTGGATAGCTCAGAAAATTGATTTGGCCAAATCACAGTATATGGATGGAATTAATATAGATATAGAGCAAGAAGTGAATTGTTCAGCACCTGAATATGATGCATTAACTGCTTTAGTCAGAGAAACCACAGACAGTTTCCATCGTGAAATTGAGGGATCACAGGTAAAAATTCATTTATTTTTTAGAAACCCCATATTGTTCTTATTAAATGCATTTATGAGGGTATGACCAACACAATCTTAGTTTTATAGAAATAGAATGGTAAAGAATTTCAGCACATAATTCCTAAAAATTTTTCTGAAACTATTGTTGATTTTCTTTTTGTAGGAAACACATTTCTCACTCAAACGTAGATATTGAGGAGCATAATAACCCAAGTCATTAGTCAGGCAGAACATAAGTAACTATATTTTTACAAAGTGTTGTGATGCAGTTGGTCATCATGCATTTAAGAATCACTGGTAAAATAAGTGCAAGCAGCATCTTTGTGGCTTTAGGCCTGTAGGGAAAGTTTGTCAGAATTCAGCTTCTCAGATGAGTACAGTGTACATCAAGAATGGTAAATACCAGGTATGCAGGACATCATCCCCCTCTCTTCCTCACAAATTTTGGTCTCAGAAGCCTTTCCTTCATTCTCTGGATAGTTGTTACTGATAGGTTGTATCCCATACATCAGTTCTAACCTATTTGCCAGTGCTGATTAAGCTGTAGTGAAAAGGCAGGGAGGAAGACTTGCGGTAGGACTAGCTCGTTCCATGTTTGAGAGATGAGTACAATGATCTGAGCCAGTCAGGTTTATGAGAGGCACAGTTGTGAAGGTGGGCCAGACTGTGGAAGATCCAGAACATCTGACAGAGAAGTATGCATTCATTCTGCATGTGATGGGTCACACACGTAGACTAGTGTTTGGGGAGATTATTCCGTGGTAGTATGTGAAACTAGAGGAGAAAGGCAGACCAGTAATGACTCCCTCAACAGTCTGGTAGATAGAGGCTTACAGTTCTGATTTGGATAATTGTATAACTCTAACAGTCAACAAGTGGTCAACAAGTGTTTTTTTTGTTTGTTTTTTTGTTTTTTTTTTGAGACAGAGCCTCAAGCTGTCCCCCTGGGTAGAGTGCCATGGCATTATAGCTCACAGCAACCTCCAACTCCTGGGCTCAAGCGAGTCTCCTGCCTCCGCCTCCCAAGTAGCTGGGACCACAGGCGCCCACCACGACGCCCGGCTATTTTTTGGTTGCAGCCGTCATTGTTGTTTTGGCGGGTCCGGGCTGGGGATTCGAACCCACCACCTTAGGTGTACGTGGCTGGCACCTTAGCCGCTTGAGCCACAGGTGCCGAGCCAACAAGTGTTTTTTAAATGAATGAGTTATTAGAAAGGAAGGGGCAGGACAACTGTGAGAGGCTGCCCACAGGAAAAGGTGAGGTTAGGTTTGGGGTGTGAAGGAAGAAGAGTCAGAAAATGACCCAAGATTTCTTAAATTGGTCACCAGGAAAAATGACTCAAATAGAGAATCTGGAGAGAGAAATGAGTTTTAAGGATAAGATGATGACATTAGTTTACAGAATCATGGTCATTGAATTAAAAAGAAGCAAATGCCCTCCAAGAGTCTTTTCTACATCCTTATTTTTATAGGTAGGAAAACAAGATGATTTCAGTGACTTAGCAGTGACGTAGACCTAGTCACAACAGGACGAAGACTAGAATCTGAGTCTTTCATTTTCTTATCTAGTAGACTAATGCTGCCTTGTCAAAAATATGAGCTTAATTATGACAGGAAATCCAGGTGAAAATACTTTTAATGTGCAGGAAAGAGGTAAGGACTTACAAAATGGATTCTAAATTTACCTGTGTAGATGGAATCATTAATTTTTTCTATAATACTCCCATTTTGTAGGAGGCAGAGATAGAATGGGGCCCAATCTGTAAAAATTGCACTTCATAACCCATTTTCTTGGAGAGCTATTGAGGAAAACTTGCATTTTAAAGCAGAGTTCCCTTTGGTGAAAATGCTCAGAGAATTACAGAGATAATGTCCTGAAAAAAGTTTTGCTCTAACTGGCCAAAGTATAAAAAGTCTGCCTAACGTATTAACCTTTCAATTTTTAAAACTATCAATAAGTGTTTATTGAGTGCCTAATTAAGGACAAAAACAATGTTCAATGAAGTTTTAGAACATTTGTACACATGTAAAATAAGGCTAATTAATATTTGCTTAAGGCTATATATAAACAGATAAAAGAGACTCATCTTTGTTGAATGCTGCCTTACCATTCAGAATGAAAGCTATTGCTCAAGTTTTATTTGAGTATTTCCATAATCTGAGATCACTGAAGTGATTTGCTTGCCATTTTGAGTTGGTTAATTTATACCTGTGGGCCATAAAACAGAACTATTTTCTAACTGTAACATTGGGCCAAACCTACCATGTAGTCTTAACTGTGAATCAAGGAGACACCCTAGTCAGGTTACACCAATAGGTGACACATTGAGCCTGCACACATTTAGCCTGCACAATCAGCTCACAACCCAGTCAGGTTACGCCAGTAGGTGACACATTGAGCCTGCACAACATTTTAGAAACTTTTATATTTGCCTTTGCTCTCTGGGTGCTCAAGGGTACCACCACACCCTATTGTTATTATACTCCTTTCATGAGCCTAGTTTCTGAAGACTTAAGAATTTAAAACCTGTCTTCTCTATAATGCCCTGTTCTTGGTCATTATATGTCCAAATATAAGTCTGAATTAGTCCAATGGAGGCAAAAAATATGTTTCTTAGAACTGTTCTAATTCATATGCTGTAAACAGTTCTTTTTTTGTGGATAGTATGAGGCAAGAAAATAAATGAAAAATATGACAAACATATACATTTCATGATGTTATACACAGAGTACTGTTTCTCTTCCCAGGTAACCTTTGATGTAGCATGGTCTCCAAAGAACATAGACAGAAGGTGCTACAATTACTCTGGAATTGCAGATGCTTGCGACTTCCTCTTTGTGATGTCTTATGATGAACAGAGTCAGATCTGGTTAGAATGTATTGCAGCAGCCAATGCTCCCTATAATCAGACATTAACTGGTAAGAACCCCCAAATGATCACTTATTAGCTAAATTAATTCAGGAACTTCAAACATTGATATCTTTTAGTATTTCTATTTGTATTTGTATACCTTCTTCATTTGCAAAGCTTGGTTGATATAAAAATCACTTCATTTGGGCTTGGCGCCTGTGGCTCAAGTAGTTAAGGCGCCAGCCACATACACCTAACGTGGCAGGTTCGAATCCAGCCCTGGCCCGCCAAACAACAATGATGGCTGCAACCAAAAATAGCCAGGCATTGTGGCAGGTGCCTGTGGTCCCAGCTATTTGGGAGGCGGAGGCAGGAGACTCGCTTGAGCCCAGGAGTTGGAGGTTGCTGTGAGCTATAATGCCATGGCACTCTACCCAGGGGGACAGCTTGAGGCTCTGTCTCAAAAAAAAAAAAAAAAACCGAAAAGAAATCACTTCATTTGGAGAGCTTTAAAGTTTATAAAAAGTTTTAAAGGATTTTTTTTTTTTTTTTTTTTTGCAGTTTTTGGCCAGGGCTGGGTTTGAATCCACCACCTCCAGTATATGGGCCCAGCACCCTACTCCTTTGAGCTGCAGGTGCTGCCCAAAAGGTTTTTAAGAAAATTTTTTTTTTTTAGTTTAAAGTTTTGATGTTTTCTAACAACCTTGTGGGATAGGCATATTGATACTAGTTAATCCTCTATTACAGATAAGATAAAAGTTATCATTGTTTCCCAACTATTAAGTATTCTAATTTCAATTTCAGTATTCTTCCCCCCCCAGTGGTAAGATAGGATTGTATTAGACAGAAAGGAATAAAGAAGGAGTCAAGAGCACCAGAGCTTTTGGCAAAGGGGACCCAAGACTTTAGACCCAAGTCGGAAGTCTACTCCAATTCCAGTATTATTGTTGCGAAATCACATGAAGAAATTTGCTTATCTAGAATTTGACAGGAATTTTGTTGAAATAACAAATGTTAAATAATTTAATAGTAAAGATAGTTACGGTGCGGGTACATATGTTACATGATTAGTAGGATTGGCTTTATTTGTTAGTACCCATGATATATTAAAAATTGTATTCCTATCAGAATTTGAGTACTTCTGACCGGCCACTCATATGATGAGGTCTTTGCATTATTCTGTCCAAAGTTTTAATTCATTTGTATCACATCAGTCAATTGAATAAAAGATTGCTGGCTGTTTTTTGGACTCAACTGAAATTTTATGGCATAGTTGATATCAATTTACTTGGTAATTGCTTTATAAATAACATTTTTTTTCTTTCACGTATATACAGAGATTAAAATCTTAGAACCCGGCCTATTCTAATTGGATAGAATAGTTTGATTATAAATATACACTATTTAAATTAGAAAAATAACTGAATTTCTTTCTGTGAAAATTATACAGTATGTAATTCAGAATTAATCAGTTTCATGAAAGAAATGACAACTGTGTTCTAGCAATAAAAGGCTCATTATTAATTATGTTTGGGAAATGATGTATAGTCCCCCTTGAGTACCCCCCGTTAATGGTGCACAATTATATGAAAGGCTCTGAAAAGCAATACGCTTATTTAAGCCAACATTCTAGATAATCTACGAGGTCTCTCTTATCGGAAAAACATGGTTTGCAGTATTGGGCAAGAGAAAGATAGATAGTATCACAAATTTGTTCGTTTTTTATTTCCTTCAACTGCAGATTATCTACAACTGCATGATGGACATTTCTTATCCCCAGCTGTCACTCAGACTTACAGATTATTTCTAAAACGCTTGTGCTTTCTATAACAAATTTCGAGACTATCACTGCCAGAAAGTTTTAAGATTTATAGTTCTTGAAACTTTAGAATCTAGAATATCAAATATATCACGACTTAGCAATTAATAGAACTATCATTGAGCTTTCCTGAAATGTGTCTTTTTTCCTAGAAGTAGATTTTGTGAATTTTTTGTTTCATTATGATCTTAACTGTTTTCAATTATTCGGAAAGAAGTGATTTAGAAAGCAAGATACTTTCTACATAGTTACACTACATAGTTATTAAGGATGAGTTTTATATTAGAGAAACACTACTGATTTTTTGCATAAATATTCCTGTTTTAACTAATTTAGACTATGAGTGGTTGCATAGCTTGTATGAACACATTAATAGATAATATGAAGAGAAAAAAATACTGCTTTTTCTGCCCTGCTTGACTAGGATATAATGACTACATCAGGCTGGGCATCAGCCCTAAGAAGCTTGTAATGGGTGTTCCCTGGTACGGTTATGATTATACATGCCTGAATCTATCTGAGGTAAGAACAGCTCATTTGTTATGTAATTTTTCTTCTCTGTTATATTTTTTAGAGCTTATTTTCTTTTCATTAGGAACATGTAAACTTTTATGTAGAACTTCTGAAACACAGTTTGAGATTAAAAAATGTTTATTTTAAAGTATTTAATCCCTTGAAAGCTTCTGATTATCACACAGTTATAGTCAGGCTCTCTATTTATAGCGTATGTTTTATTTCCAACAAATAGTTTTGATTATTTTTTAACAACTAGTGTATTATTTGAGTCTGTATCGTCACCCACAGACTGACACTCTGTCACATGGACATTTTTGCATCCCTAGGATCGTATTTGCACTATTGCCAGAGTGCCTTTCCGGGGGGCTCCGTGTAGCGACGCTGCAGGACATCAGGTGCCCTACAAAATGATCATGAAGCAAGTGGTTAGTTCCATTTCTGGAAGCCAGTGGGACAAAGATCAGCAGGCTCCTTATTTTAACTATAAAGTAAGACTTCTCATAAGTTATGAATATTCATTCTATTAATTTCATAATTGTATGGTTTAATAATTAGATATTACTAAGTATTTCCATCATTTTTCTTACTCATAGGGCATAACATACAGACTGCTGTTTATATGCACAAACTTATCTTTCAATCTGTATAATCAGGAATTTCAGTTCCTGGGGAGTAGTTTGAGTTTTGCTAATACACGTAAAAACATGCATATCACAAACAGGATTTCCTTAATAATTGAAAGTATGATAACTATTGCTTCTGAAAGGTTTGTGGCCAAAATAGGTTACCACCTCCGACAGCCTCCATTTCAAAGTAGCCTGAAGATTTTGATGAGACTTTTACAAAATAGGAATGAATGAGGCTGAGAACAGATGATCATCAGCTTTACAATGGAAAAGCTTACCATTTCAAATTTATTTCATAATTAAATTATAATTAGTATTAAAAATTAGAGACAAAAAATTACATAAAAGAAATCTGAAGAAATATAGGAAATGATTAGCAATGCTGTTACGTAATGTGTAAAATAGGAACTGCTATACCAAAGTGGGAAAGAAAAGTTCTATTTTTTCTAATTTACCCTTTGGATAATAAAATCTTTTTCACACCTCAAAAATCTAAGTACAAATAATCTTTGAATTTACTTTGTTTTATGTTATTCTAAAAGAAATCCTAAAAAATATGATGTAGGTTAATTCCAGCAAGGGCTTATATTTCTGACTAATGATCTGATACCATTTATAAAAAAATGACTGCAAATGTACTATATGTAACAAATTGTGATTGACATACATATATATGCCTACGTATCAATCATACAGAAAAGTTTAGTGTAGAGCGTTCTAACCTTTAGAATCAAAATTATGTATCTATATTAGTGAAACTGGGCTACATTGTAATTCTGTCTTTCCTAAAGAGTATTTAGGAATACTCTGTCCTGGGAACTGCTGATATTACTCACACCACCCATGTGCACAAAATATTCACACATGTGCTAAGGGCAAATATATTTAGAAAACACTATATGTCCCTCTTAAAGACAGGATTTGAGACAGTACATAGAGTGTTTAATTGTTGAATAGAACCTTGTTTTATGGCACTGTTAGCTGCAGGCAAGGGAACAATGTTTCTTGGATATAGTTTGCTGAAGGATATGGTAACCAGTTACATATAGAGGCGTACCCTGGAGCTATTTTGTGAGACCTTTTTAAAAAAGAAGGTTCTTTCCTCCTCCATTGCCATTACCTTTTGATTCGGCTGATTCATCATAAACAAAATCATCTGTTGAGCTCTTAGCTAGGCACACTTCCAGGTACTATAGGAAATACAAGACAGTAGATAAGCGAGTTTAGAGGACCAGTGAATCTCCCTAACTTCAAAATGGCCTAAGGCAGTGGTTCTCAACCTCCTAATGCCACAGTCCTTTAATACAGTTCCTGTGGGTCTCAACCCACAGGCTGAGAACCACTGGCCTAAGGGGCCATTAAAACATAAAACAAACAAATACGTCCTAGCACCATCTCTGGAGAATTTTGATTCAGTAGGTTTCATGTGACGTGGGCCTAGGCATCTGTATTTCTAAAAGCCCTGCAAGTGGTTTGGATGTACATGTTGGCTGATAATCACTAGACCAGGGCAAGGAAAGAATCTTAGGATATGAGAGGATCCTTAAGTAGAACAGACATAATAGAAGGGTCATTTTTGTAATCTTTGCTGTCAAAAGTGCCACAAGTATTATCTATAACAGATGTTCCTTGACTTACAATTGAGTTGTGTCTTGACAAACTCATTATAAGTCAAAAATATGTTATGTGGAAAGTGCACTAAATACCCAATAACGTCTAAAAATCACAAGTAGAACCACTGTAAGTTGGGGACTGTCTGTATCACATAGAAAACCATGGACTAATAGAGTGGGAAAGTATTAGGCCCTAAAATGTGTATTATTTCATTGTATCCTTTTTGAATCACTGGATTTAAACTTGTCCCACCTCTTATGTACTGAAAACTTTAACTTTACATTTTAATTTATTTGTATAGGATGCTGCTGGCCATTTTCATCAAGTGTGGTATGATAATCCTCGGAGCATTTCTTTAAAGGCGGCATATATCCAAAGTTACGGCCTACGGGGCATTGGCGTGTGGAATGCAGATCATCTTGACTACTCTGGAGACATTATAGCCAAACAACAAACTGATGAAATGTGGAATGCCTTAAAACCAAAACTGTGGCAGACATGAACATACGTCACACTATTAAAATTTAGAAAAATGATCTGTATAAAAAGATCTAGTTTCTCGAATAAATAAAAATACGTACATTTTTGTCATGTTGTTATTATACTGGGTGGCCATAAAGTTTGTGTGCAGTTTAAATCTTTGTATACTTATGTGTATACTAAAAAAAAAAATGTTTTCATTCTTGGATTTTGAAAAATACGTATTTACATCTTCAGTATTCAGGAGCATAAAGGCAAGGAACACATCAACTTTATTAATCCTCTATGAGATTTTCAACATTACAATTAGGAAAAACTGCTTTCAGAATTTTAATATGCCAAACTTTCCCTCATATTACTAAAATATACACTTACAAATCAATGTTGATTTTAAAAATATATACAACTTGAAGTAGAAATTGTTTTCTTGGAATAGATATTTAAAAACCTAGACTTTGATCAAGCACTAGATGCTATACTTTTTTCCCCCCAGTAAATCTTAAATGTAAAGCCTGCAATTGAATGTCTGATACAAATGATCTTTCTGTTTCCTGACTCCTTCTAGTACTCCTATCTCTGAGGTACTTGAACTAAATCTCCAGACACTGAGTGGGAAAAAAAATACGGGATTAAATATACTCAACAAAAATGCAAGAAGGTGACTTTTAGTATTTTGAATTAATAAGTTAGAGTTACCTAATACTGCCCAACTAAATTATTTCTTGAGATTTACCTGTTAAATTTTTTCCATTAGGAATAATTTGGTGTTGAACTTGGTCCTATCCAATGTCATTTACAATTTTAATTATTTATAGTCCTTCATTCATGGAGAATTTCTTGGCTCATTTTCTTGGTTAAATTTTTCTTTCTCTACATCTGCATTATACTTTTAATTATCTAAAGCAGTGTTTTTCAACCTTTTTAATCTCTCAGCCTTGGATTAAACTTGGAAAAAATCCAAGTTTTTAAACTTCCAAGGCACACTTAAATTGTGCTTTGAACTTCTTTCAAAAATAATTTAATGATCTTTAAAAATTTTCACAGCAGACCTAAGATGCTGTCATGGTGCAACAGTGTGCCATGGCACATTGGTTGAAAATTAGTGGTCTAAAGACACTGATTAGCTTCTTAGCTAGTTAGAGGAATTTTATGCAAAGAATTTTTCTAAAGGTAATGACATCTCTGTTTTCACGGGGCAATTAAGAACAACATTGTGTTTGTACACAGCTATGATTTAATTTAAAAGAAAGAACAACATTGTGCTGCCCTCCTGCAAATGGACAGATTAAAAATCTGAATCCTCCTACCATTTGATCCTGCAATCCCATTACTAGGCATCTACCCAGAAGAAAAACCTTTTATCATAAGGACATGTGCACTAAACTGTTGATTGCAGCTCAATTTCCAATTGCCAAAATGTGGAAACAGCCTAAATGCCCACCAACTCAGGAATGTATTAACAAGCTGTGGTGTGTGTATACCGTAGAATACTATTCGGTCATTAAAAAAGAGAGATTTTACAACTTTTGTATTAATCTGGATGGAGGTGGAACACAGTCTAAGTTAGTAAAGCATCATAAGAATGGAGCAACAAGAATCCAATGTATTCAATTCCAGTACCGAAGGCAGTAGATAAGCTCATACAAGGTGGGGGATAGGGGACTGAGAGCAGGGAGAGGGGAGGAAGGTGGGGGGTAGGGGGTCACAGGGCATGGCACAGCTCTTGGGGGTGAGACACAATGATAAGAGGAACTTTAACAAATGCAATCAGTGTAACCAAATTCTTTGTACCCTCAGTGAATCCCAAACAAAAAATGCATCTGTTGCATTTCACTGCTGATGGAAGATGATGAGCATTTCTTTGTTTGTTGGCCATTCGTCTGTCTTCAGAGAAGTTTCTGTTCAAGTCTCTTGCCCACAAAGAAATGGGGTTGCTTGTTCTTTTATTATTGATTGACTTCTCTGTAGATTCCAGTTATCAGAATCCTTTGTCAGAATCCTTTGTCAGAATCCTAACATGCAAAAATCTCCCATTCAGAAGGCTGTTTGCTTTAGTTGTAGTGCTTTTAGCTGTGCAGAAGCTGTTAAGCTTGATCAAATGACAGTAATTTATTTTCAGTGTTGCTTCATTTGCGGGGAGGGGGGGTTGGGGGTCGCAGGCAGGGGAGTCTTCCTTACGAAATATTTACCCAGTCCAATATCTTCAAGCATTTTCCCTGCACTCTCTTCTACTATTTTTATAGTTTCATGTCTTAAATTGAATGGATTGACAAGTTAATACCAAATTGTGTTATATGTGTACCGTGGAATACTATTATTCAATCATTAAAAAAGATGGAGACTTTACATCTTTGATGTTTACATGCATGGAGTTGGAACATATCCTTAGTAAAGTATCTCAAGAATAGGAAAAAGTATCCAGTGTACTCAATATGGAGTACTGTTATGAAACCAATATATAAACACACATTCATATGAATGATAAAACACAAATGCAGTCTAGCAAGAAGAAGGAGAGGGGAGGGGAAGGTCCTGAGGTGGGATCTCGCCTAATGTGCATAATGCCAGGGTACACTTCAAAATAACTAAGAATAAATTACAAAAGTCTTATCACAAAAATAAGTGAGGTGATGGTTATGTTAATCAGTTTGATTTAAGCACTCCATATTGTATATCGAATCATCACCTTGTATCCCATAAATTTATAGTTATGCTTTAATAAAAAATTAAAAAAAATCCTGCATCCTTGAACTCTGGATCACATAAGTTGTGCCCTTCCCTAAATGTTCCACCCTCCAAATTGGAAGAAATAATGATTCAACCATCTGTTATAACAATATTACGTTTCCTATTTACACAATTGTTTATAACAGAGTAAAATCAACCATTTCTATAGCATATGTTGAGTCTCTATTGCCTTACATTCTAAAACACATGTATAAAAACATTTAAATTCTTAGGTACTACCCTCGCCCATAGCCTGGATGCAAGTTCATTATCTCAGTTCTTTTATACTTTCAGATTTATTTCAAGTAAGATATAATAAACAAATTATGTTTCTATTCTCATGCAGACATATTAGTATTTATCAAAACATTTTTGTATTTTATGTAAATTATACATCAAAAAACTTGATTTAAAACATTTTTATTTATAATTAGGCTTTAATCATATTAGCTCTTAAATTTTAAGATATTAAAAATGAAAATTACAAAATATAGTACTGTAAAACAACAGGTAATAGACTTAAAACCTTAAAAACCTTAAAACCTTAAAAAAAATGACCAGTTGCCATTTGGGGTTAGATCACATGTAGTATTTCCTCAAACATTTTGTAATACCCACATGAAAAGTGAAGAAAGGTAAATGTTATGGTTTATATAAAACATACCAAGGAGAATAATGGTTAAACGCATCTGTTGAACTAAATAAACTTTTCAACAAATAAAACTTAACATACCTAATTGAGATGGTAGAGATGGATTAATGTTCTTCCGTGCCAGTTCAGCTTTCAGTGTTCGTAAGTCTGAAACTGCTTGTTTTCTCATCTATGAAAAGAATTATCTTTGAAAAATCAACTTCTTCTTACCCTTCTAAAAGTACACAGCTGCCATATAAATAGGGTTTTTGTAACTGCTTTAATTGTCTTCTCTCCCTGGCCTTCCCGTGACTTCTTTACGGCTAGATTGCCACGGTAAACGTGCAGATCATAAATCTTTATTTACTTCTAGATATGCTAAGAGATCGTTTCCTTTATTAATATATAGGAACAATACAATTGAATTCTTAAAACTAGAATGAAAAAGAATTTTATTTTTTGCCTAAATTTCACAATGTGTTCTTAATGTGTAAAGAGAATAGTATTTAAAAAAACCCAAAATACAAAAAAAAACAAAACAACCCCCCCCAAAAAACCCCCAAAACCCTTAATTCCTAGCCCTCAGAACTGGAGAGATATTTAAGAAATATAACAGTGTTTAGTCTGTGGCAAGCACTCCTCTGAATGTATTAGCCCCTTTGATTTTATCAAAAAAATTTTGAGGCAGATACTATTATAGTATTTATCCACATTTTATAGATGAGGAAGCTGAGACCCTCTAGAACAGTGGTTTTTCAACCTTTTTTATCTCATGGCACACTTGAACATACTTGGCAACAAGTCAACACGCCTGACTTCTACGGCACACTGAAGTTACGTCGATTAAAAAAAAAAAGGAGTGAAAGAATATACTTACTGCGCTTTGAACTTCTTTCGAAAATAACTTAGTGATCTTTAAAAATTTTCGAGGCACATCTAAGATCCACTCGCGGCACATCAGTTGAAAATCACTGCCCTAGAAACTAAATTGCTTGCTCAAGGTATGGACGCGTCTAAGTAGCAAGCGGTATAGTGGGGATTGAAACTCAAACCACCTGAGAGCAGAGGCCTGGCCAGTCGTCTGGACCCGCAGCATGAGCAGCCCCCAGGAGCAGCTTGGAACCAAGACTCTCAGGCTTCATCCAGACCTACAGAGTCAGTTCCTGCATTTTTTTTTCCTTTCAGGATAACAGATTTTATTAAGAAAGAATAAAGAGATAGTTCAGAGTATTGCTAAAGAGAGTTGGAAATGGGTCCCTCCCATGAAGGAGCAGAGGTGTCTGAGAGACGTAGACAAAGGCCTGCAGGGGTATTAAATATTTCATTTAAAACTGGCTGAAAGTCTTTCACAGTTGCTGCATTTTTTAAACAGGATCCCCAGATGATATCATGTTAAACTTTGAGAAGCACTAATATGCTCTATTATCTGGAATAAATATGATTGCAACTGACTTAGGGTAGGTTTTCTACCCCTCAGTTTTGAATCTTTTTTTTTTTTTTGAGACAGAGCCTCAAGCTGTCCCCCTGGGTAGAGTGCCATGGCATCATGCTCACAGCAACCTCCAACTCCTGGGCTCAAGCGAGTCTCCTGCCTCCGCCTCCCAAGTAGCTGGGACCACAGGCGCCCGCCACAACGCCCGGCTATTTTTTGGTTGCAGCCATCATTGTTGTTTGGCGGGTCCGGGCTGGGGATTCGAACCCGCCACCTTAGGTGTACGTGGCTGGCGCCTTAGCCGGTTGAGCTATAGGCGCCGAGCCTCAGTTTTGAATCTTATAGGTAGAGTTATTGTGGGAAGATCATTCTGGAATAAATAAATACTTCTTATTAATATGATGTCTTCATGTGCCAATCAGTCACTATGGTTAAATACAGGATTCCCCCCCCCAATCTGTAAGTTAAAACTTTGTTCTCTTTTTTCCCATTTTACGTATCTCTACTATTTTTGTACTAAAAATTGTAATTTGGGTTCAAACCATAAGTCATATTTATAAGGTTAAAATATACCAAGATAGTAGAATCTAATGTGCGTGCTTTTCAGAAGAAAAGAACATGATGGAATCATAATTAAAGGCTCTGGGAGTATTTTCATTACTCATTTCTACCCACTCATTTTTTGTTAAGTGTACAAGTTTCCATACTGGCTTCCTCTCCATATATCAAATACACGTCCAAACAATTTTCCTTAATTGAACAAATTATTGTATCTTTCAAGCACATACTGTGTAAGAATGTTTAACTGGCTGGGCACAGTGGCTTATACCTGCAATCCCAGCACTTTGGAAGGCTGAGGCAGGAAGATCTCTTGAGTCTAGGAGTTTAAGACCAGACTGAGCATCATAGTGAGATCCCATCTCTACAAAAAAATTTAAAAATTAGGCAGGAGCGATGGCACGTGTCTATAGTCCTAGCTTCCTGGGGGTATCACTTGAGCCTAAAGTTTGAAGTTACAGTAAGCTATGCTGCCACTGTACTGCAGCCTGGGCGACAGAATGAGATCCCATCTGAAACAAACAAAAATTATCCTGTGTTTTTTTCCCCTTCTGTATTTTCAGTGTTAAGCTTTTTAGTGCCGACCCAGGGTTTATCCTTAAGAATAGGGCTAGTGAAAAGAATCTTGAACTGCACTGGCCAGTACAGTAGCCAGTTGCCATATGTAGCTCTTACATTAACTAAAATTAAATATACTTTAAAATTCAGTTCCTAGTCATACAAGCTACATTTCAAGTTCTCAATATCCGTATTGTGGCTAACATTTCAGAAGGTGCAGGTACATAACGTTCCCATTACCACAGAAAGTTCAGCTGGACAGTCTAATTCTAGAAAGGGGTCATTGTGTGTCATTAGGCTGTTTCTGATTAAAGAGATTGAGAGCATTCATACAATTATCATTCTTATTTTTTCTCCTGTCCTGTGTAGATACGTTCTTGAAAATGTATAATCCTCCTCTGTCCAACAAAAGAGCTTTTGAAGACATCTGTACTTCCATGATAATTCCTACGATGTGACTAATTGTTCACAATTCTTTTTTTTTTTTTTTTTGAGACAGAGTCTTACTATGATGCCCTCAGTAGAGTGCTGTAGCATCACAGCTCACAGCAACCTCAAACTCTTGGGCTTAAGCGATTCTTTTGCCTCAGCCTCCTATGTAGCTGGGACTACAGGCACTCACCATAATGCCCAACTATTTTTTATTTTTTGGTTATTGTTGTTGTTGTTTGGCCATCCTGGGCTGGATTCGAACCTACCAGCTCTGGTGTATTTGGCTGGTGCCCTAGCAGCTGAGCTATAGTTGCCAAGCTGATGTTCAGAATTCTTATCATATAAATACAGTATGCCTGGAAACCTCTAGAAACATCTATTACACAAAAGATCCCATGGGGGTAACAAAGTTAACTAAGCCTTTGCCTGGATGGAAATGTAGAGTAAGAAGACTCAAGATTCATAATTTAAAAACCAATGGAATACATATATATGAAAATAGCCAGAGAGAATGAAATAATTACCCCAAAATAGAGGAAATAATTTAAATAGGAGTTCAGAGGACAGCTCAATGTTTTGTCAGGTTTATTTATGAATAACTTCTAATACAGGCAAACTACTTCCTTTAAAATATCATTTTGAGACTACCCTGACTCACAGAGTCCTTTTCCTTTAATTTTTCTTAGTGAAATTTTAGTTCAGCCTTGTTATAACATGCATCTTTTCACAGGATTTAGTTTCTCTTCTTTCATTTTTTTCACTCCTGTTCTTTATTGTTAAGGTAACAATTTTAAGACAGTTGATCCTGACTACCCTGTGGACACACAAAGTTAAAACACCAAAATGTTTTATTTCAAGATAAATGTCATAGTCTGGCTAGGAGAAATGAAAATTACCTTAACTTCTATTATGAGTTTCATTTTGTCGGTATCCAGTTTTCTCTTAAGTTGGTCAATTGCATGCTGGACCTCAGTGATCTGGATTATTAAATAATTCTGTGTGAAATATACGAAGACTTTTATTTAGCATAACATCTATACATGTTTATTTTTGACTATCTGGTAAACTGTGACACGATCACACCAAAAGAGGAAATCATGAAAATAACCTATTACCATAAAATAAACTTATTGCTTTAAAGTAAATTACTATTCCTTTTGCATTCTGTTGGTTTCTTGCATTTTAGGGACCATTTTCTCTTTACTACATTTTTTATTTACTTTTATAAAAAGGAGATATGTATAAAAGCTACCATTAAATTAGCATCATAAGAACCAACAACTATTACTATGAAAGGAATACCTTAGCTTTAAGGCATTAGTAATCCTTTAGAAATTGGCATAGTGCTTTATTAGCTGAGTCAGATTAGAATTATTTAAAAATAGTTGATAATGAAATACTACATTTTATATAAGGAAATCTATTTAATACAAGAAAACTTATTTAAAATAAGAAGACACTTGTTTACTTTTATCCAGAAAAATGTCTGAGGTATGGTAGTCCTTACCAAAGAAGTTAAGAATTTTAAACTGCCTTCATGAAAAAAATAATTCTCATATTCAACTTGAAAAAGAACAAGATAAAGTATCGGCTTTGCCAAAAAAAGTTATCAACTACTATGGAAAACCACTATTTGAGCCTATTGAATTCATGAAAGTTATCTAAAATAGTAAACTTTTCATCTTGTCTAAAGTTAAGTCCTTAATCATAATTAATGTTTTAAATTTGTTTTTGAATGAGTAGGATTACTCCAATAAAAATCAAATTCTAAGTGGCCTCTGGAATTTTTTTTTCATTTCCTAGTGTGTAGCAAGCCTTGGAAGTTTTTTTTTCTTTGCTGTTAAATATATGGTGGAATTTCTCAATAATAAAATAAATGCCAGGTCTCTGATCTCAAGACTATCTCAAAAAAAGTGAATTGATCAAAATTTCATAATTTCTATAAAATATGAACACCTTTAAAGTCCATGGGCGTTATAACCCCCCACCACGTAAAAGGACTATAGTGGACACTGTAAGTGTCCTGCCCAACTTTGTCAGGTAGTCGTAGCATCAGGAACGGTGACCCTACCCCAGAAATAGAGGTAGATGCTAATTAGTCTATTAGTCAGCACATCACATTTCTTGACAATTATTTTTGATACAGGGATAGGCCGGTTGACCCTTCAGTAGACTAATGGGAAAAATTTATGTGCACATATATTCCATAATTCAGGGAGAGGTTTGCTTCATTTTGGAGCTATGCAGCTTGACTTGCTATTGGCAACTGCATTGCTACCATTAGAAAAAGCAGTCTCACGATCTCACAATCTTCAGTCTTACAATGAAGTCACCACCAAAAGTAATAGGAAATGTACGAAGCACCCAGACCCCTGAAGGCATCAACAAACTGCTGACTGCATCTCAGCAGTCCTCTCACTACATGACCTCATGAATTTTCCTACTGTTAAAGTAACTTTAACTCAAAGTTAGCCGGAAGCATCCTAACTATAGTAACCATGGCAATGATAAAGCAAGTATTTGGGACAGAACTTTTCTCCCCAGAAGGGAGACACATTTAGTAGCACCTTAGAGTCTGTGATGTTTGCCAAGTTCTTGGGTCTCATCTTGATCTCCCTGGCTTCAAGTTGCATGAGCAATTTTTTATAGTAGAGTTCTAAATCTTCTCGAAGTTTCGTCAAAACCTCCTCCAATGATGCTGTGACTTTCTTTGTTTGAAAGTATTTTTTCTTCCAACCATCAAAGGCTATAAAGAAAAGCAAATCTATAGTTTGAAAATGATTAAAGTTGGAAAGGACCACAGAGTTAATGTCAATTTAAATTGTTTTCTTCTTTCCTCTGCTTCTTCCCTGATATGCTGAGAACAAAAGAACTAGGGGAGAGATGTGTGTTAGGTAATGAAAGACCGCGCCTGGAGATAGTAAAACAGTAATAATTACAGCAACCCCAACCACGCTCTCCTTTAAACATGTAATTGGTTATGAACTATCTTTACTTTAAAAATATTGTCTATAAATATATATGTATGTATATTCATTTTGATTACTTTAATCCATGGATTGATTTCCCATAATCTTATTTGAAATAGTTACTTATATAACTAAAACTGTGAAAGTAAAAGACATGATTTTTTTCTTATTTTTACAGCCCTCGTATTGACTTATGTTTTGTGAAATAAACTGTTCTTATTTATGATTTACCAAAATTATGCTAAATACTTCCCCCAAATTCTACTGGATGGAGTTCCTCAAACCTGAGACCCCTGTAATTGAGAAATCTGGAAATTCGACACTACCAGTTTAGGAAATCACATCGACACCAATGAAATTCTAAATACAAACTTAACAGGAATACAAATTACATGCTAGTGTACCAGAATGTGCTTATGTTCATTTCTTTTACTTTATCATAGAAATGGAAACTCTAAATTTAAGGATTCTGCATTATAAGGTGATTTGATTAAAATTATGTAGCTAGATAGAACTACAAGATTTTAGCTATTTATTTCCCTCATGCCCTGTTACCCAATCCTTCAGCAACCTCCATGGGAACCACTGCCAAAAGAGTTCCAGCAATACTTTTCAAGAAAGCTGCGTTATCATTCTAATTCGTCTCTCTGCTTGCATTCTTGCCCCTCTACAAGCTATTCCATATAGTGGTCATGATCTTTCTCAAATAACAGTAAGACCTCTATAAGTTGACCACCCCAAGGACAGTAACAAACTGCTCAACCTGCAGAAGTGGGCAACATAAGGAACTCAGCCTACTGTACTGATACCCATGCCTGGGGTATGAAAATTAGGTCAGCTTAAGAACTTCCATAGTTGATCACTTCCCTGTATTGGGTAAGGAAAGTCCCTCCCCTATATTGGGTAAGGCTCACTTCCCTATATTAGGTAAATATGGAGGTTCCACTGTATTTTTAAAATCATGCAAATTTCCCATAGCTTTCCACTTTACTTAGAATAAAATCCAGGCTCCTTGACTTGGCCTTTCTGCTTCTTGCTGACCTTTGAGGCTTTATCTCCTTCTATATTCTTCCTTATTTATCATGCTCCAGCAACACTGGCCTATGTCAGACCCTTAATACCACAAGGTCATCTTCATCTAATGATATTTAGTGTTCTTTAATATTTAATGTTCTTTTTTTAGTGCACAACTTGATATTTAGTGTTTTTTTCTTTTCTTATTTTATTTATTTATTTATTTATTTATTTTTGAGACAGAGTTTTACTATGTTATCCTCGGTAGAGTGCTGTGGCATCACAGCTCACAGCAACCTCAAACTCTTAGGCTCAAGCTGTTTTCTTGCCTCAGCCTCCCAAGTAGCTGGACTATAGGCGCCGGCCACAATGCCCGGCTATTTTTTTGCTGCAGTTGTCATTGTTGTTAAGCAGGCCCATGCTAGTTCGAACCTGCCTGCCTCGGTGTATGTGGCTGGTGTCCTAACCACTGAGTACGGGCGCCGTGTCTGTTTTTCTTTTATGACTGCTTTCTCCCTCTTTAGACACCCAACTCCTTACTCGTAAAATCTTAATGACATCTCCTTAGAGATGATTTCCCTGATAATCTTAACTAAAGCATCTTTCTCTTGCCCCATCATTTTTTACTAACTGATTTCTCAGCTCTGATCAGTCGCAGATACTGTCTTACTTATTTGTTTATTGTCTGTCTCCTTCCATTAGCATGCAAGCTCCTTAAGGGAGGGGGCTACATTTACCAGTCTCACTGCTGTACCCCCAGGCATTTAAAACAAGGCCTGATCCTCATTTGTATAGTGGTGACTATCCCACCTGTCACATAGGAGAACAAAATCAATAAATAAGCAAGGCCCGGGACATAGTAGGCTCAATAACTACTCAAAGGCTGATATTTTTTATCTTGAAATACTCCTGTTGAAATACAGAGTGATCGAGCAGTCCCATTTTATAAACAGAAAGAGGAAGGTGTAAGGAGAAATAACTTGCCTAAGTAAAAGATACATTTGGTTAGAATCTAGATCCTGCGATTTCTAATCCATTGTTCAAATTTGTTTACTCTCTTTACAAAATTACTCTCTTAACACTACAACAAGGAAGAGTTACTGGCACCACTTCCAGGGTATCACTAACCTCCTGAGGCAGAATCTTCAGAATATGTCCTGACATTGCCTATAACCGTCAGTCAGTTCTAGTACTGAAACAACAATTTTGCTGTGAGTTGACAATCCTAAAACCAGTTCATTACAGATATACCTTTCATCCTTACAGTCCTCAAACATAACCCAGATCCCAGGCTTCTCAAGTCATTCACTTTCTTCACCCTGGCTTATCTTTCCATTTCCACCAGACCTAACAACACTGTCTCTAATTCTACTGCAAGAAAACGACTTACTTTTCTTCACTATCCTCATTCATTCACTTAAGCAAGGCAGACGGATACACATACCAAAAAGTGAGGTACAGAGGAGAGTCCAAGGGCCTTCCAGAGTAAGTGACACCTAACCTCATCGTGAATGATTCATAGAAATAATCCCATGAACTGGGAAGAAGGTGGGAATAGAAGGTAGGAAGAGAAGTAGAGGAAAAGGCATCCTGGAAGGACCTTGAGCCCTCGAGCCAAGAAAAGGCACACTCCAGATCCTGGCATAGCCAACCCTTCTCCAGGTAGCCTCTCTTTTTTGTTTTTTTATTGAATGGTAACTATGTACATTAATGCACTTCTGGGGTACAGTGTGGGGTTTTCACTTGCAATCTGAAATACTTCGATCAAACTGGTCAACAGAGCCTTCATGTCATTTTCTCAGTTACTGTTTTAAAACGTTCACATTCTACTCTTAGAAAGATTCACTTGTACCCCTGTAAGATAAACCTCAGAACGGGTAGCCTCTCTTGATCTCTTCCAAGTAATTTAAGTGTTCTTCCTTTGTATTTCTAGCCACAGAATTCTGCAATTCCTTCAGTACAGCATTCATCAGGATGTATCATTCACGCTTAACCTTATCATTTCCCCACTGAAATGTAAGATCTGGGAGGGAAAGGGCAAGACTGTGTCTGCTTATAGGCCCGAGAACAGTGGCTAGATTCAATGGACATTTAACAAATATTTATTTAATAAGTGAATGGAAGAATGAATAGATAAATGAATTTCAGCTATAAAAATATTTGAGTTTTAATTTAAAAAACCCATGTGAAGCATTTATTGTATAAAACACAGTTGAAAAATGATTTCACGTTTTCTAGACTGAACTCTCTTCAATCATGAACCACTTAAACTATAAGAGTAAAACAGCAACTATTAATTATAACTTTATTATTTATTCCAAAAACATCAACTCTGTAAACCTTTTTTTTTATAGTGATAAAAGGGATATAATACAATTTACCTTGACATTGCCTTGATTTGTTTTGTTCAAACAGTTTTTTGACTTTTTTAAGGAGTTCTTCTCTAATTCTTTCCAGATACCTTCTTTCTTCCTTTACCTGTTTCATTTGTTGGATAATCTTCTCTCCTGAAGAGATTGTAATCCACATTCGTCAATGTCTAAAAGCTCAAAGATGGTTTGTAACCGAAAATAGGGAGTGTAAAACTTAAAAGTGTCTAAAATAGCAAGAACAAATTTTACCCCAAACTGTCTTTCTCACTGCAATATAGCATTTGCTGCTACAGGGAATGCAGAGGGGTCACTTGAGTTTCCAAGAGTGAAATTCTAAGGGGATTTATAAGACAGTGTGCCTTTTCTGCATTTCCAAATATATCTAGAAACTAGATAAAGCTCAAGTACTTATGCTTATATTTTTGAGTTTAATTCTCTTGGCAGATTTCTTTGATCCAAAATTATACTTAAATCTTACATGGCAAGTGTCTATTTTAGAGAGAGAGAGAGACAGAGAGTGTGTGTGTACATACTTTTGTTGTTTTTTTGAGACAGGGCCTTGCTTTGTTGCCTGCCTGGAGAGTACAGTGGCATCATTGTGGCTCACTGTAAGTTCAAACTCTTGGGCTCAAGCGATCCTCATGCTTCACCCTCCTGTGTAGCTGGGACTGCAGGAGTGTGCCACCATGCCTGGTTAACTTTTCTATTTTTCTGTAGAGATGAAGTCTCACTATACTGCTCAGGCACAAAGTCCTGGCCTCAAGCGATCCTCCCACCTTGGCCTCCCAAACTGCTAGGATTATAGGGATGAGCTACTACATTCAGAAAGTATATTTTTTTAAAAGAAATAATATTAGTGACTAAACATATGTAGTAATCAACATAAAATCCATATAATTTAACTTTATTGTGGTAAAATATATATAACGAAATTCACCATTTTTACCATTTTTAAGTGTACAGTTCACTGGCATTAAGTACATTAAGTATTTTCAACCATCACTACCATCCATCTCCAGAACCTTTCTATCTTCCAAAACTGAAACTTTATGCCAATTAAACAATAACTCCCCATGAATATTACTTAGCTTTACCTCACAGAACAATCTGTACTGGGATCACCATACTTACTTTCCATCTGTAATAAACAGATATCAGCTTTTCCTGGAGAAACAGGCTGACAAGGAAATGAAGGGAAATCAATAAGATCTGGTAGGGTGATACACTCTTTTTCACCTGTCTGCAAGCAAAACATAAAAATGACTAAGCTCTGGCAGCACGACACATTCTTTCTTCACTTGTCCGTAAGAGTCAGTCTAGCTTACAGTAACCTCAAATTCCTGGGTTCAAGTTATCCTCGTGCCTCAGACTCCCGAATAGCTGGGGGCCACGGGCACTCATTACAATGCCTGGCTAAGTTTTCTATTTTTAGTAGAAATAGGGTCTTGTTCTTGCTCAGGCTGGTCTTCTGAGCTCAAGCGTTCCTCTTGCCTCAACTTCACAGAGTGCTAGGATTACAGGCATGAGCCGCGGTGCCCGGCCTTTCCTCTAAGTTTCTACCAGCATAAGTTAGTGAAATATTACTATTCTTTTGCAATAGCCAGTCTGAGATTCTCATTTTTAAAAGGTTTTTTTTTGTTTTTTGCCTATTCTCACTTTCTGTACCAAATACTAAATCAGTTCAGGTTTAAGCAGGAAGGAATTTAATAAAGGAAATGAAGTGTATCAGAAAGACTGAAGGAGCAGGTTACAGGCGTGATCTTCTAGAACAACGGTCCCCAATCTTTTCGGTACCAGGGACAGGTTTCACAGAAGATGATTTTTTCATGGATCAGGGTAGGGTAAGGCAGGTGGCGTGGGGATGATTCAAGGGCATTACATTTACCCAATCATCAGGCATTAGATTCTCATAAGGAGCACACAGCCCAGATCCCTCATGGGTGCAGTTTCCAACAGGGTTCAGGCTCCTATGAGAATCTAATTCCACCCTTGATCCGACAGGGGCGGACAGAGCTCAGGTGGTGACCAGAGCAATGGGGAGCAGCTGTAAATACAGGCAAAACTTTTCTCGCCAGCCCACCCCTGACTGCCTGCAGTATGGCCCAGTTCCTACTAGGCCACAGAATAGTACTGGAGGGTGGGATGCCACAGTTCTGGAATGACCTTTACATTAGTGAAGTTACCACCTTCGAGGTCATGACCGGAACAATGCCAAAAGCAAGAAGCTGCCACTGTTTCTCCTTCCTGATTCTCACACTCAGGAAGGTGAAGAAAGATGAATACTTAATTCATCAAAAAAAAAAAAAAAAAAAAAAAA